GCTACCTATCGTAAACATTGGATGGTTTGGTAACTACTTCCTTTCGTTTTCTTTTTTTTTTATTGATTATTTAACTTATTTTCACTTCCTTCATTGATAATGTCTGTAGTTATTCTTACTAATAAGAAAAAGAAGCCAATGAATTCCATATGTCTTCTTATATCCAGACTTCGATATTTTCCACACAATCAAGTATGTTATTTAATTAGTAATTAATCTAAACAGAACATTTATCTTAACTTTCATCGACTGATATAAATCATATAAATCATTTTTTATTTGTACTTTCATCGATGCACTCAAAAAAAAAGCCTCCAAGGAAAAAAAAAAAGAGAAAAAAACCGCTATGCATCATTAATTTTTCGTAGTTTCATTGTCATAGTATCTTTTCATTATTTATTCACAGTTTCTATTGATTCTTCATCAGTGTGAATTTATTTCGACCTTTTCATTTCTATGCAACGAATATCTGTAAGAAGACAACAACTAGACAATCAAAATAACAAACGATGGTCGATATCACTAATTGATAATAATGATCAAGACGAACAAATATCATGTCAATCACCATATTTAACATTACTCACTAATAAACTTGGAATACCGCAAGAAAAAGCGTTAGTTAACGAATTTCTTTCGAATATTTTTTTTTTTTTGTTGTACTTTTAATTCTTTTATTCGATTTAGAGAACGAGCATGTGTAGCAACTGGTTTTCGTTCAGTACAAGCTGCTACTGATTGGTAAGAGGTAAACAATGAAAAAGAATAAAACTTATTTTTATTGTTTTCGTTTTTTTAAAGGCTTCTTCAAAGACAAAATGATAATAGATTAATTCGAAGTGAATTTATTATTGTTCTTTGTCCTGATGAACGTCTTAATGAACAAATTCAAACATTTACTAGTGAAATATTTCGTTATCTTGCTCAGGGAAATTTATTAAACGATCGTCAATATTTACGTGCTTTTAAATTATCTGGTTTTTTTCATGTAAATATTCTCGAAATATGAATCAATTAATAAATAAATAATTAATTATATTCTATAATTAGGTACCTGATCGATATGTTTATTCATTACATAAAATATTTGATTCTGTTGTTGAACAATATCGTAAATTAATTAAACAATTATTACGTACTATTTTATATACAACAAATGATTATCTTATGCTTATGCCTGATATTGAAAGTAAAAAACTTATTCAAACTATTTTTGATATGTTTAAACAACAATTTGAATTAATAGGTTTGTTTAAAAATTAAAATAAATTTTTGTTTAAAAAATTTTTCTATTTTTATTTTTATTTTTATTTTTAGTACCAGATGTTTCAATAATACCAGCAAAAAAAATAGTTCATTTAACTCTTACTCATGGTTTATCAACTTTATTTCATCTTTCAAATGATCAACGAACATCATTAATACAACTTGCACAACTTTGTATTGAATTAGATCGTCCTATTAATTGGAATCTTCGATTGTATTCGCGTGAAAGGTCTTCTATGAATGAAGTTTGTTCTTTTCTTTTTCTTTATTTTTCTTTACAGAATAAAATAAGAAAATAATTTTGTTTTTCTTTTCTTTTTTTGTTATGTTTTAGACTGTATATCGTGTTATTTCATCAACAAAAGATACAACTAACAATAAAGGTCTTGTATTAAAAGCGAATGATCTGTTTATGGTACTTGATAATGGTCGAATAAGCGAACAAGAAAATGTCTTTGGTGAGTAAGCTTTAATTAAGTTGTCTTTTGTCTTCTTTCCTGTTATATATCTTTGCTTCTCGCTCTTTCGCTTTCTTCTCTATCATCTATCAAGAGAAAGAATAAGAATAAGAATATTTCATCATGCATCTATGTGTTTGTGTGGCCTTTGAGAGACTCTTCTCTTTCTCTCTTACATGCGCATAAAATGTTCTTCGTTTCTCTAACAACGCGCAAGGCACAAGACACAGTCACCTTCGATGCTTCTTTACTGGATGTGCGTGCAACGCACACAAGAGAACGAAGAGAGAGAGAGAGAGAGAAAAGCAAACGGCGCACACACAAGCTGCATCATAGCACAACAAGCGAGTAGTAATAGTAGTAGTAGTCGTAAGAGTAAGAGTAGTAGTTCGAGTAGAGTGCTGCTAGTAGCGTCGGCTCATTCTTTCTTTCTTGCTTTTGAGTGAAGCACGGGTGAGTGTCGCGTCGGCAATATAGAGGTTGTATGTGTTTCAAGATAGAAGAAGACGAGTTCTAGATAATGTTGGATATGCTTGCGCGAGAGTCGACAACAAGTTCAGCAACAACAAATGGATCTTCAACATCAAAACCAGTTCGACGTTTTCATCAACGTGCATTGATTTGGGATTTAGAAGAGACACGTGCTCTATTAGATTTACTTAAAGATGAACGAATATTTAAAGCTATTGAGAGTGTTCGAACACGTGAAATCTATCATGAAATTGCTGAACGTCTTAAACAAGCTGGTTTTAATCGTGATTGGAATCAAATACGTGGTCGTGTGAAAAACTTAAAATTCTCATATAAAAAAGCTCGTGCTTTACATGAAGAACAAGGACAATCAACATTAACTTGTCGTTTCTATGATGATCTTCATTATTTATTTGGTCATAAATATAAAAGACAACGAAGTAAAAAACGTTCATTACAACATCAACAACAAAAATTACAAAATAATTTAAAGATTGAGAATGAAGAAGGAGAAATTGTTTCGAATATAAATAATAATGAACCCGATGATATTACTGATGATGATGATGAGGCAAGAGATTTTTTAATTTTTATATTTTTATTTGAGCAAAGAAATAATTTTTATTTTCCTCCAGTCAATGAATGAAGATGATGAACAACAAAATTTTCTTGATGATGTTTCACCTGATTATATTCAACGACCAGAAGATCCATATCCAATACTTCAATCAACTCGAACAAATTCAAATATAATTCAAAATGAAGATACAAATAATACAACAATTGAAACAAATGAAGAACAAGAACAATTAACAACAGATGAAATGGATGTTTATATTAAATCTATGTCACCATATAAACATCAAGCATATCTTATTGATGATGTTCTTCAATCAATTTTTAATAAATTTCTTCTTGCACAACAACAATCAGAACAACGTTTTATGTCATTTATTAATGAACAAAAACGGAATGATCAAGAACGTGAAGAAAGAATTCATCGAGAACAACGACAACATCAATTAGAACTTATACAACTTATTATCAATCAAGGTAGACTAAAACAATTCTACCAAATCAACAATATATATATATATATTCGTTCATTAAGAAAAATCATTTTAACTATTCATTATTATTCTAGTCTAGAAGATTTTCTTTTTTTCTAAAAAAAAAAAACCTCTTTTATATTAAATAGTTAAATATTTGATTTATATTTATTTTTAGGTCGTTCTCATACAACAGGTGAAGAAGGTTTATTTCCATTAAAAAATTTAAGAAAAACATCTGAAACAGATGCATGGACTTTACAAAAGTAAATAAATTTGAATATATTCTTTATTTTTATTGTTTTTTTTTTTTTTTTGTACATTAAAGATCAGCATCATTAATAAATGAAAATTCTTCAATAAATACAATAGATCTTTCAGAAAATAATAGTTCATCACCAAATGATGAAAAAACTTCTAATAAATTACCTGAAGTACGAAATTTTACAAGAAAAACAAATATAATATCACGATTAAATACTACAGTAAATATTTTTTCATATTTAGTTGAGTTTTTGTTTTTCAAAGAATTTTCTTTAGAATAGTCAATTAGATTTATTATCATCAACATCGAATCCAGGTTTAATTCGTCTATTTTGTATTCGTCATGGTGAACGAGTTGATTTTGCATTTGGTCCATCTTGGCCTGAATTAGCTTTTGATAAAGCTGGTATTGTCATCTTTTTTTTTATTTGTTTATTGAATAAAAATTTATTTTGAATCTTAAAGGAAATTATCATCGAATCAATTTAAATATGCCATTATCTTTACCACGTCGTCGTAATCCATTTCGTGATTTTATTGGTGATTCTCCTATCACTGAAATTGGTATAAGTCAAGCTCGATTAACTGGTGAAGCATTAGCTGCAAATGATTGTCTTGCACAATATTGTTATTCATCACCATCACTTCGATGTATTCAAACAGCACATTATATTCTTCAAGGTATTATTTTAAATAAAATCAAATAAAAACAAAGATAAAAATTTAATAAATTAATTTCAGGTATGGGAGTTGAAGATCGAGTAAAAATTCGTGTTGAACCTGGTTTATTTGAATTTTTGGGTTGGTATGAACGTGGTTTGCCATCATTTTTTAATTCATCTAATATAAATATTAATGAAGAAATAGAAGAAGAAAATAATTTATATAATATTGATAAAAATTATCGACCAATTATTTCATTAGAAAAATTATCTCGCGATGAAAAATATATTGATTATTATAATCGATCATTTAAAGTTACACAACAAATAACTGATAAACATAAATTGACTGGTAAAAGAGAAACGAAAGAAAAAAGAATTTAGTTTTTCTTTAAAAAAAGAAATATATATTTTTTTTTAATTTAAGGTGCTAATATATTTTTTATTGGTCATGCTGCAACACTTGAAGTTTGCACACGTCAATTATGTTCATTTCCACCTCGATCTTATTCAGATTTTAATAGTGTTATTAGAAAAGTTTCTTATTTAGGTTTACAATTATGTGAAAGAAATCCAACCGATGGACAATGGACATTAAAAACACCACCTATACCACCATTACAACATGCAAATAATATTTCATATGATTGGCAAATGATGAAATAAAACGTTTTTTTTTTTTCTTCTTTCTTGTTATACATTGTAATTGATCGCACAGTGTTCTTTTCTTTTTTTTTTTTTGTCTGTTGTTTTCTTCTTTTTTTTTTTTACTCGATATTTTTACAGAATAAATGAAAACAGTGAGTTTTATTTAATAAATTTTAGATTGAATGCATCAAAAAAAATTGGAAGATTGTAATTTATCAATTGGTTCAATTCATTCGCAATTAATTAATGATAAGTCAAATAAATTGCAAAGAATTGAACAACATTGTAGTAAGTTGTTGAATGAAAAATTATATTGAATTTATCTTGTTTTTCGTTTGTTATGTGTTAGTTATTAATAATGAAAATAATGAAGTTGTAATTGATTCGGAGAATGAAGAAGAATTTAGTTCAAGTGGAGTTAGTGAAGATGAAGAAGAAGAAGAAGATGAAGAAGAACAAGAAGAAAATATGTCTACTGAAAATAGTTTTCAACAAAGTAAAATAATTTAAGAAAAAAAACAAAAAGTTAAAATAAAAAAAAGAAAATTTTAGATAATATTATTCAATCAATGAATCAATGTAATTGTTCAATTAATTTACATAATCTATTGAATACAACTCAGTATGTTTTAAACAGTTATAATCTCTTCTTTTTATATTAAAATCCTTTTTTGTTTTGTTTTTAGAAATGTTACTATCACTTTTAATCAACCGGAAAGTGCTTTAGAGATAATTCAAATGAATCATGATCAGATGTTTGCACAAACAATGGCTGCTCTTGCTGCTAAATATCAGTATGTAATTAGAAATATTCTTGAAACTACTATACGACTAAGGAATACAGCAGACTTCAAAGAATTTAACTGAACTTCGAAACTGAAGTCTCTACTGTTTCTTCTTGCTAATATACTATGCCGAATTTACATTAATATTAAATCAAATCGAATTTGATCTTCTTCTGTTTAAAAACATAAATATCGAAGAGATCATCATACTTGTTCAAAGTCTAATGGAATACTTAGAACTATTTAAATAATATGACAAATGGAATATGAAATTTAGTCAAAACTGTGAAAGTTAACTTTACTTGAATAACTTCTTTCTTGATACTATGAAAATTTTTGTAAAATCTATTGAAAACGCATCATATTAGTACTAGTGATAAAATCAGTTTGGTTATATTTGATTCGAAAAAATACAAACTGATTTTATCTTTACTTAGTACATTAGATATCGACTACAGCAACAATGATTCATTCTCATAGATCATCGTCGAAACTTTGATACTAAGAAATTAATTCTGACGTTTGAAAAACTTATCGACTTCATAGTTCATCTTGAAAAAAATTTTAGTGAACGGAGAATTTATAAGAATATAACAGATAACTAAATTCGTTCATAACTACTCTTACTACATTCATTTCAGTCATATTTAAGACATTTTTTATTTGATTGTAAAATAAAAAATTTTCTGTCAGATTATAAAATTATATTTTGATTTATAATTAAATAAATAAAAAACTTATTTTTATTTTTTTTTATTTAATAGACCTACAAAATCTATTAATTCTCCGGTAAGTTTTTATCTAGATTCTAATTTTTAAATGTTTATTTTATTTGATTCTTTGAAGGCAACTGAAAATGATATTCTATCTTTTGTTGGTCCATGTCCATTATATTCTTTGGCATCTTCATTTGGTCTTGATATGCATCATGGTCTTTCTCATTTTCCTTGTCGAGATGTATATGTTGGTGATAGAAATCATATTTCAATTCGTCCACTTTGGCAACATTTAACATCATCTCATAATTTAAATCTTTCATCATCATCTCTTCTTATATCTCATATTCTTCTTCATGGTTATTCATCATCAAGTCCAATATTATTTAATTCACATAATACAAAAAATATTCTTCGTACAACACCACGTTATTCATTAATTAAAAAATGTCCTTTAACAACATATGGTGTTTATGGTATTCAATATGAACATGGTACACGTTTATGTTCTGGTTATACATATAATACAAATATTTATTTACATTTAACATCATTTCATAAGATGACACATAATGCATCATTACGTTTATCACGTGCTATTGCATTTAATGATAAACAATTTAAATTTGAATTTAATGAAATTATTGTTAATGAACATAGAAAATATTCTTTAGTGAAATCATGTCAAATAAAAAAATCTTCTCGATTAATTCATCATCAATGTCATCCATTGAAAAAATTTATTAAAAAAAAACCGGTGAAAAATATTTGAAATTAATTTTGATATTTCTCATTTGTCAGATAAATTATATGAATGACATTGTCTTTCTATTAAATCAGCTGTGATTATCATCGAAATTTCTTCTTTGTTTCGTTTTTTTTTTGTCGTTTTATTTATTTTAAACATGAAAAAAGTTATTTTTGTTTTTCAAAAAAGAAAAAAATAATAAAAATTATCAAAATTTATTCACAAAACTTTTTTTTAATATTTGATATCAATCTTAGACATCAATTTTCTTTTTCGAATTTTGTTGATATTAAAGATGTTGAAAGAAATGGATTTTTTCTTGAGAGAGAGAAACAGTGTTGATACGAGTTTCAGGTCGGTCCGTCTTATTAATCTTTTTTACTCGTAATATCTCATAGATGATATGTAATGAAACTTTGTTGAAATTTGACTATGTCAAACCAATCAATCCGGTCTAATCTGGGCTACTCAGAGTAGTGCTGGTAATGATCATGAAAAATCCAGATCGGTTCCATCTCTGGATTTTTCTGTATGTTGAAATAAGAAGATAGTTAATGATCTTCTTTCGTCAATATTTACAGTTAAACGGTTCGTATTGATGCTATTGATCACCTTACAAATAGCATCAGAACTATTCCAATGTCATTTTATTGCAAAAAACTGTGTTCGTGCCAAATTAAAAAATTTCCGTAGGAAGCGTTTATTTTTAGAATATGACAGAAAAAGTAATGCATGTCTATTCTCTACGAGATTTATGAGATCTAATTTTCTAAAAATAACAAGCATAGTCGACATTTCAATGTAATTTGATAGAATAAAATAAATTTTTCTTTCAAAAAGATATGTGTTAATGAATTTCAAATTCTTAAAAAAAAATAAAAACGAAGAAGAAAAATATTGATTATTCTTTAGATTTAGTTAAAAGTCTTCTTCATATAATTGAAAATAAATCCATTATATATATTATTATAGAGTTTTATTTTCTTTCTAATAATACTATGGCATGTTATCAAAATCTCATTAAAATTTCTTTCATATATTTGTCTTCAATATAGAGGATTTTGTATGAAATAAAACATTTCAATCATAAACATCTACTGCTATCTGTGTCCCTCAACAGGATTATTATAATGAGAAACAATAAAATAATCTCTCTCTCCCTCTATATATATATATGTATTATTTTAATTGCACAATGTAGTTATCTGTTGTTTTTATTGAAACTCAATTGTAGATATTTGAATGAGATAGAATATTTTTTTAAAAATTTGTTCAATGTTTTCTCGTATAAGGATGTTGAGCAAATCCTGGAGGATCTACTCTTTCTCTTGGATCAGGACCGAACGTATGTCGAAATATATCGACAAGGTCAGAGTCTCGAGATTTATGCTGGTTTTTAAGTGGATAATGCCATGGTAGTTTGTAATTAGGTGGTATGTTATAAGTCATACGATAGAGAATAGCACTCCATGACCAAACATCTGACTTTGATATGTTCAATGTCATGTGATGCCTTGTAACCAATGTTACTTCAGGTGTTGCATATAATTATGTACCATTATTTCCAATCCTACAAATAACTACGGAGACTTAATTTCTACATATCAAGAAATGTGCATTTATCATCGGTTAGATGTTCTTATAGTATTAAAAAGAAACCTATGAAAGATGTTTACCCAGTGGCGTAGCCAGGATTTTTTACGTAGGTGGCAATTTACCAGCTAAACTATTTTGAGTAGGTGGCAGCAATGGACAATTGTAAAACCTAGTGAGCAATAGTTTTTTTTAAATACTTATCCGAATTACAGAACTTGTTGTTTATTGAAGAGAAATTAGTCATCCTGGATTAACAGATAAATTTGCTCGCTTTTATTAAACACTATTTCAGAGATGTACTCTTTGATTTCATATATTTTAATATTTTATGTCAAAAAGTCATAAATAAGTATCAATAGAACAAGAAAATCAATCTCTTTTCTGAAGATGTGGTAGAGATACAATGGCTGTCAGTCTTTTTTTTTTTCGTGAAACATTGATCAATGCCTCTTTATTTTCTTTCGTCAGGCAATAAAGGTTCGTTTATCTACTTTAATCGGACAATTGCATGAGTTAGTTTGTTCTATTACGTCGGACAATGACAAGCATTACTCCACATATATCTCTAAAAAATTCTCAACCATGAAAGTTTTTTTGCATGGTTTCAATGTTCAGTCATATATGCATCCTGTAAATGACATATTATCATTTCATTACTAGTACTTTCAATACCTGAAATGAGTTTTCAAAACACTATCGTTTAGACACTCAGTCGATTTTTATTTAGATTTTCTATGTAGTTTATTCACGTTTTCAACTCTAACAGTGCAAGAATCATGTTGCAACATACATTGTGGAAGCTTTTAATTTAGATTGCTTCAGTCGTTTCTGTACAATACGATTTATGTTCGTAGAGAGATCGTTGAGCATTCGTTCAAGTTTCTCTTTAGCTCATTTAAGTGTATTAGAGCTAGAGAGCTACGGGTCCGGATCTGAAAATTTAGCTTTTCCCGGGACCGGGTCCGGGTCTAAGCCTAAGAGGAAAGTCAGACCCGGTCTGCATTAAGTTATGAATGGAAATATATAACAATAACAATTGAAGTTAACAAAATTGAAAAAGAAACAGTCAGAAATAATTTTACACTCATTTGACCTTTAAAGTCGCCAATGAAGAGCTAAAATTGTGTTCCCTTTTCTGTTCATGTACACATATGGTGTCAAATATTGGTGAAAAGAGGATCGGGTCTAGGTCTAGACTCAGCCGGATCCGGGTCTGAAAATTTAGTTTTTCCGGGGTCGGGGTCCGGGTCCAAAAAAACATGAACCCGCAACTCTCTAATTAGAGCGTATTTTGACAGAAAATACTATTGAATCATTATTACTGTGATCATTCTTTGAATGCAAAAGATCGTAGATTGATTTTTGTAAATCACTTGATTAGATCTCATCAAGAGAAAATGTATTGAAAGAAAACACTCCTTGAATCTTTAAGTATACACAGATATTAACATTTTTTGACAATGGACAATTGCGCGCATTTAAAAAAAATTAGGTGGCAATAAAATTTGATTTAGGTGGCAATTGCCACCCTGCTGGCTACGCCACTGTGTTTACCTATGTCGATATGTTTTTTGAGCGATACCGAGGTTAGCTAATGTGATTTTATTACCAAAAAACACAATAAGATTTTGAGGCTTAATATGAAGATGTACCTATAAAAAACGTGAAGGAGATAAAAACGCAATAGTAATTAAATTACAATATTATTCCCATGAAGAACAAGTGCAATGTTAACTAATAGGCGCCATATTCTTTTTCTTTCCACATGTAAGAGGTGAGACTGTGATTTTAGTGCTGCTTCTAAATCATATTCACTAAGTTCCATAACAAGAAAAGCAAGACTTGTTTGTTGATGAAAGTCAAAATCATACATGTATACTACATGTTTTGATACTCGTGATAAACGTTTTGATATTTCAAGTTCAGTAAGAACTGATGCAATGAGTATTTCTACTTTGATAGCTACAGGTTTATCTATACGAAAAGAAGTCTTCGTCGATGTTAGTCAAATATTTTTAACTTACTATTTGAAACACGACGAGCAAAACAGACAGAGCCAAAGGCACTAAAACGAGCTCTTTACGGAACTTATGAGGATCATTATTGATAGGAATTACTTGATCATCTACTATTATTGTGACAAAGATATATCACAAACTGTAAAAACGTAAGTAAAGTTAGCACCAGATTCGAATATTTCTTGTCTCGATTTGCTTTCTTACCTGTGTTAGCTCTTTAAGTGGTTGTGTTAGGCGCAGAATTCAATGCTCTATTGAATGGTATTAGTTTCAAGGAGGTCGTCGGGCAAAAATCACAATTTTCTCCCACAAATATTGTATTTTCCCCTGTGTATCGATAACAAAAATCCGGTATTTCTTGTCCAAATTCGCTCTACGACTTGTCTTAACTTTCTGATCAAGTGTGTTGGATGCAGAATTTGATTTTCTATCCAACGGTACTATTTTCAAGTAGTATCATCGCTCAAAAAATGGAGTTTACTCACGAGATATTCAATATTTTCTTATGTGCTCATAATGCGAATACAGTATTTCCTGTCGGGATTCGTTTCCTGACGTGTATTGAGTTTTTCAAAGGGTTGTATGAGATGCAGAATTGCATTCTCGAACGAATGCTGTTTTTTCAATAGGGATTATCAAATAAAAAATGGCGATGTGATTCTGAGTATTCGTTTTTTGACCTGATCTAGCCAGTAATCCTTGTCTCCATTTGCCTAATCACCTTTGTTGGATCTCTAAAGGACTGTATTAAGTGCAGACTTTAATTCTCTATCGAATAGCACTAATTTCGATGGGAGTCATTGGATAAAAAAATTGTCTTACGTGTGTTTCCGGGTGTACGTTTCAATTTAGGTGAGTTTCTATGATGAGCTCGAGCGATGCTGCATGAAGCTAATAGGTGTCGGCAAACTGCAGGATAGCTCAAAAGCGATGCGTTAGTTCCCCACGCTCAGCTGACTGGCTCACCAACATCCAATCTCACAATGACACCCACATCTAAGAGTACAACCAAGACAATTTTTTTATCCAATGCCTCCCACCGAAATTATTAACATTCAATAGAGAATTGAATTCTACATCCAACACAATTAATCAGAAAGTTAAGACAAGTCGTAGAGCGAATCTGGATAAGAAATATGGGATTTTTGTTATCGATACACAGGGGAACATTGTGTTTTTTGCCCGATGACCCCCTTAAAACTAATACCATTCGATAGAGCATTAAATTCTGCATCTAACACAACCACTTAAAGAGCTAACACAGGTAAGAAAGCAAATCGAGACAAGAAATACTCGAATCTGATGCTAACTTTACTTATGTAAGAAGAGAATAATTCTTGCGTAAGAGCTTCTCATTCATTATTATATTAAAGCTGATGCAATCTTCGAACTTGAAAAACTTGACGTAAC